AGCCTCTCCTGCAGGCCGAGGAGAAGGGAAAGGACCAGCCGAGTGTTCATCTCCACGCGCCGGTCAGGCCCTGCCTGTCTTGGCTGGGTTTTACCCAGAGGTTACGTGCGTGTGGAACAGCAGGCCGCCAGCGCCATCATGTGGACGCTGCCTGGAAGAGAAGAGCCTCAGAGCCCCCCCTTATCTTGAGGTGCCCGGGTCAAATCAACCATTGTAATAAAGGTAAATGAACAGCCCCAGAAAGGAAACTCTGGTGTCTCTGCCTGAGCACTGTTTCCTGTTCTTTATGCAAGAGCATGAGAGCCACCCGTTAGGTAAGGCAGGGGCCCACCTGAGCCTTTTGCTTCTCCCGCTGGCCCGCCCGATGCCTCTCGCAGGTGCTTGCAAGCAGGGGACGGAGAGCCCTCCCCCTCCCCCGAGGCGGCTGCCCCCAGCCCGGCGGTGACGGAGCCCCCAGGAGAAGCGGTCCTTGACAGACAGCCCCCTCCCCCGGGAGACTGTCCAGGCCCTTTAAAGACATCCCGGCGAGCTCCCTGCCCGCCCCCCCCCGTTCATGATGCGCTGGGTGGAGAAGCCCTTGGAGGGGGGGAGCGTCTCCCTGCCTTCTCCAGGCCGCGCGTGAACTTATGCACCTAACTCAGGCCCCCCTTCCAGTCCAAGCTAAGGGGCCCCAGGTGTTGTAGCCTCGCCTGGGGGGAGGCGTGGAAGCCCCCAGCCTCTTCTGCACTTGGCATGGCGGTGCTGGCAGATTCCCGCCAGCCCCTTCCAGCACAGAGCTCCCACTAAGGGGCCTCCTTGATGAGTTCTCTGCTGTTTATTTTTCAGTACCCAGAATAGACTTTCAATCTGTCTGCAAACTGGGCCGCCTCATTGCTTACCCCTGAGTCAGGAAGTTAAATATTTAGGAAGACATTATACAGCCCCTGTTCCAATGCCGTTCTTCTCACTTCTCCCCCTAGAGAAAGTTGTCCATTTATTTCCACTCTGCTGGGGTTTTTTTTAATCAATTAGCAATCTATAAAAGGAAAGGTCCCCTTTTTGTAGAATGCAAGTTTACTCAAAATCTTTGGGAAATCCAGGTATGTCATATCAACAGGTTGCCTCCATCTACCTGCCTGTTGTTACTCTTAAAGACATCTTGGCGAGGTAGGCAGATTTTCCCTCAGTAAGGTTCATTCCACTATTAGCTGTTTTTATTTTGATTGCTGTTCCTATCTGTTTGCCTGAAACAGATGCTAAACTGTTTCACTGCTTTCTTCTGGCCCCTTTCTAAAAATTGCTATTGGTTACCTTCCAGCCCTCCGGCACTACATTTTGGGGGGGAACCACGTTTTTCTAAGAAGGCAAGCAGTTCCACATGCAAGTTCGTTACATTCCTTCTCGGCTGGTGGCCCTCGGGACCTGGTTGGTCATTGTGTCGTCCCTCGAGATGTTCTAGAATTGCCGCTCATCGCCCCCCTTTGCCATAATAGTTCCAGTTCCCGCTCGGAGAAAGCTGATGCTGGCTCCGGGATCCGCCTCGTAGCCTCTGTGCTAACGACGGACGCGAATGGTTTACTCTGCTTCTCTACCATCTCCTTCCTTTGCTGCTTCCCTCACCGGTCTTCTCGGACGACCGGCTCTTCCTGTCCCCTTTTGTGTTTCGGCCACGCACCCACAACTTTATTTTTGTGTTCCTCGTTAACATCTTACACGTTTACAGCCTCCCTTTCGTTCTTTGCATTACGGTAGGTGTTCTGCTTCCTGAAAGGCCCTCTTCTAACTTCGCGCCATTCTGAATTGTACCCGAAAGCTACGCTGGCCTCTTGGCTTGTCCCACCCCTCTCTTTTCCACCAGCCCCCTCTTTGGAGAAGTATGCCCTTTCATAGTCAGTGCAACCGTACTGGGCCCCCCGGCACGCTTCCAGCGCCTGCCCCAGGGACCATATACGGTACTCCGTATAAGAGCCCCGCGGCCCCTGCTCCTCACTGGCTCTGCCACGCTTGCACCGGGCACCAGGTCGCGTTCCTCTTGCGAACGCTGCGGGTGGCCATCTCGGCAGCAGGCCAAAGCCCTTCAGATCCCGCCCCAGACAGTCCTGGCCCTGGCTCTGACCTCGCAAGGGAGACGTTGCTTCCGAGGCCTTTCCGGATACTGTGAAAAGCCACCGAAGGGCAGGGGCGCTCCTCGTGGAGCACCGAGCACCTCCACAATAGCCCACTTGGCAGCACGAGAGCCGGGGAGAGGTCTGGGTGAGGTGCAGGGCCTCTCCGTAGGTGCCAGTCTGGTGCGTGGGGCTTTCGTAGATGCAGTATGGTAAGGACCAAGATGCCCCAGAGTTGGCCTGAGTGTCCTCACTGAGGACCAGCGGCACAGCATCAAGGACAATAGTCGCCGTGGCCAGCAAGTGAAGGGTGTAATAAAATCCTTTTATTGCATTTTCTGCAGACAGAAGTCTAAAAAACAAAATATACGGTATAAGCATCAACACGAGCAAAGAAGGGCCATAACCCGTGGATATCTAACAGCACCGGCCACGCAAACACTCGCAGAAAGTAAATGCAAGCCCAATGCACGTTCCTTTGGATTTACAACCGAGGGTATTTACAAAGGGTAAATGGATCGGCGCTGCGCTGCACATGTGCTCCCTCGAACACAAGGCCTGTGGAAAAGCTCACAACGGCTACGGCAAGGCTGCACGTGAATCAGAGTCACTTGGATGGACATAAAACAGATTAGCTACAGTGACGGATTATAAAGGTACTTCATGAGCTGACTGGTGTCACATTCATAACAAAGATATTGCACGTGGAGCACGGAAAGAAGTGTGTGTAATCAACGCAGCCGTGGGCCTGCCTCTGCTCCTTCCCCTGCAGGATGCCAGACCGCTTGAGGGCTACCCTCCAGAGCCTGCCAGCCCCCCAGTTGCCTCCGCCTTAAAAGGGAGACGTGGGGAGCTCAGAAGCCCAGTGATGCAGCAATAGTACGGTGGGCTGCAGATCCGGGTGAGAAAGTGTCCGAGGCTGATGCTCCTTCCTCTTCCTTGCTGCTGTTCGGGAGCACCAAGGAGGCCCTTGACTTCCCTGCAGATCCCTCCTCCTGCTTCTGTCAGGGGGTGCCCGTTTTATTCCCAGGCAGGCCAGCTGAAGGACACTCCAGAGGGCAACGGGGGCAAACATGCAGGGCCAGGACTGGGTGGGAGTGTAAACTAGCATGCAACGCTCCTGCTAGCCTCGGCGTCTCCGGAACAGGAGGTCAGGTGCCGGGAGGTTAGATGCTCGGGGGGAACAGAGAGGCAGCAATGGTCAAGGAGACAGCATCTGGCCCCCTCCCAGCCCTGGAACTGCCAGAGGTAGGCTGGGCATTGCCAGCAAGCAAGAAGCCCATCTTCCTTCCATGGGGTGTGCCAGCAGCCTGGTACATCCCTGGGAAAGTGCTAACCAGGGGGTCCCAAATGGGAGGACCCTGCTCTTGGAGGGAAGCGTGAGCTTTGTGGGTGGGGGTGTGAGACAGAGGGAGAGCGAGCGAGTGTGCCTTCCTCCAAGCGTGAAGCACCAACCCTCACTCTCCACTGGTTTGCCCTCAGCTGTGGGGTTGCTCATTGTCTGGGGAGGAGGTAAAGCCCAGCTGCTTAGAGGGCTGGGGAGGGGAGGCTCCGAAGGAAGCTCAGCTCTGCCAAACAGGGAGGGGGCTGCCATTTCCCCTGAGAAGAAGCGGGCACTTCTGTGCGCCAGGGAGAGACCCTGCCCTTCGGCCGCAGCCCGTTCTCCAGGGAACAGCTTTCGGAGGCATCCTGGATGCTGGAGCAGCAGGTCTTGCTCTGGCCAGGGAGCTGTCGGAAAGGAAACCCCCCGCCCTGCCCCGCCCAGCCCAGTGAAGATGCTGGAGAATCCTGGGACCTCCCAAGCACTCCTGCGCACCCCACCCCGCTTCCTCTCAGTTCTTCTCACCCAAATAGGACTACTTGAAAAATACACGTCCTGTGCTATATACAGAATATATATATACAGCCTCCCTGGAGGGGCAGCACGTTCTGCTTTTGGAGAACTATTCACATTGGTTAAAAGCTCCACAGTTTTCCTGCTCTGGGGGGAGGGGGCTGTCCTGAGGGGCTCCAACGCACATGTTTTGGTATCAGGTGAGGCACCAGAAATGGGGGGACAGAAGCAGAACCCACCAAACCCCTCCGCTCTTCCCTACGCTGGAGGAGGACGAGGCATCTGAGGGGGCAGCAGTGCTCCTGTGAGGAATCCCTGGGGGGGCTCTGGGGCAATGCAGAGCATTTGGCGAGTGCTAACCAGGGGGTCCCAATGGGAGGACCTTCAAATGCCCCCCACCCCTGCAGCTGTTCTCCAGGGCTCACTTTAATCCTGGCTTGAGGGGAGCCTCTGGCTGGAAGACCCTAAAGTGCAACAGGGTTGAGGAGCAATGAGTGGCAGGAGGACCCCCTTGCACACGCACACTTGCATGCATGTGAGTGAGACGGGAGCTCAGGCAAGAAGACCGTGTACAAACCAGAAGGACTGGAGCTGCAAAGCTGGGTGGAGCCCTTTTTTCCTCCCCAGCCTCCATGGGGGGGGTCTTGTAGAGTTGGGGGTCAGGCCAGGAGAGGACTCGGTGGGCTCAGCAATGCTTCAGCTGGCCTCAGTGGGTGCCGAGGGCTCCCAGCTCACCTGGGAAAAGAGGGAGCTGAGCTCTGTCCCCCCAATCCTAGACTGCACGAGGGGGGGGGAAGGTGTATCCCAGCTTAGGTCATCCCCCAGGATTTCCTTGCCCCGAAGAGCCCCCCATGCATCAAGTCCAAACAGAGGGGAGGGCCCTGAGCCCTGGCCTGGCACAGAAGGTGTGTGTGGGGGGGAGAGGCCAGCGTTGGCAAGGAAAGCATGCTGGTGACCTTGGCTGGCACCCTCTCCCCATCCAGAAGCTGGGCGAGTCCATGGGGAGAGTCCATCTGGCCCAAGGCAGCAGTAGAAAAGCAGGCTGGCAGGGGGTGAGGGCACAGCACGGCCGAGCCTCTGCCCCCCGAGCGGATCCGGAAGCCCTGCTGAGCTGCAGGTGGGGCTTCATCCTCCCACCCCGAGTGTCAGTCCGAGATGGAGGTCGACTTGGGGTTCGCTGCGATTCGGGGGTGGTGGGTGCGAGGGGGTGGGCAAGACTCTCGGGGGCACAAACCTTTGGGCAAGGAAGGGCCTCCGCCAGCTGCTCAGGAATAGATGGTGATGACCTCCCGGCCACCCCCGCGAACCAGGAGGACTCTGTCCAGATGCTCGGTCAGCACCTCCAGGAACTCCATATCTGGGGTGAGCAGTCAAGGCCTGCCAGAAAAGCCAGCATGCCCACAACCGCCCCAACCGCGTACGGCTGCCCTTTGGCGGGCGCCCCGACCCAGCAGCTCTGGGATAACCCAGCCTCATCCACAGGGCATCCCCGAGCGGCACAGCCTCTTCCCCCAGAGGCCGAAGCCGCGGGAAGGGGGTTCCTCCAGAAGGCCGAAGAACACCTCGGTGCCCAGCCCCACAAGTGGCAGCTGCAGGACCCGGCGTGCTTGGCCGCAGGAGCTGCGGGCAGGCTCAAGTGCCTGAAGGGAGGGGACTGGTCGGTCCTCTGCGGCCCCGTGGGAAGCAGCTTCAGGCCAGACACTGGAAGGGCCTCCCAGCTGTGTGAGCTGTTGGCCAGTGGCACAGGCCGCCCCACAGAGACCGCTTAGAAGGGCTTTAGTGGATCCCTCCCTGGGCGGGGGCGGGCCACATGACTGGTGCTCTGAGTCCCAGGCTGCTGCTGTGCCAAGGGGCTCCCCTTGGGCAGGACTCATCGCCCCTCCCAGAAACCTTGGCAGGCGGCGCTGCAGCTGGTCAGACAGCCAGGCGTGGCAGAGAAAGACCCTCGTGGTCTCTCGACACTCCTGCGTCTGCTGCTCGTTTTTCAAAGTGGTGGAAACTGGAAGGCCGACCGTGCCCTCCCTATAAAGACCCCGGCCCTACATCTGCAAGGCTCATCTCCTGCCTTCTCTGGGAATCGCGCCAATCTTCCTCCGAGTCCAACTTCCCAGAAGCCTCCGAGCGCCGTGTCCAAAGCAGGGTGGCCACAGTCCCGCAGCCCTCCTCCCCAGGACAAGAGTCCAGCACAGAAGGGCGCTTAGAGGGAGAGCTCTGCAAAGGGGAATGAGGGTCTTCCCCACACTGAAGGCTCAGGCAGACATGGAACAAGAGTTTTCAGGGGCGCATAAATTCTGGTGAGCCACGTGAAAAATGGTGCGATCAAAGCCTTGCGGAAGCAGTGGGCCTCCTGGCTGAATGTGGCCAAGCCATGGGTTGC